GCAATTTGCAGAAAGTTTCCTGTAATTTGCCCTGGTTTTAGCCATCTCTAAATTAGAGATCTACATGGCTTACTAAAGCTGTCTGCAGTACCACTAGACAGGATAAATGTTTTTACAGGATGTCAAGATTCAACCTCTGGCACATGAGCAAACCAGTAACTGCCTGAAGTGAGGAAGAGGTTTTCTTTATATTGTTGTTTTTGAGGGTTTTGAAACATTGTTCTGAGGCATCTGGTACATCACTGTCAGGGGGCAGAGTAGCAGAGTAGATGGACCATTGGTTTGAAATGACACGGCGATTCCTGTATTCTGAATGTTAAGTTCCATTGCTATGCACTCATTTCCCACCACATTTCTTTACATTCCTTTACATTCCTTCCTGTGTCCAGTTTTGGGCTCCACAATTCAAAAAGGATGTGGAGAAGCTTGAGAGAGTCCAGAGAAGAGCCACGCACATGATCAGAGGTCAGGGAAGCAGACCCTACGATGACAGGCTGAGAGCCCTGGGGCTCTTTAGCCTGGAAAAGCGCAGGCTCAGGGGTGATCTGATGGCCACCTACAAGTTTGTCAGGGGTGACCCCCAGTATCTGGGGGAACGTTTGTTCACCAGAGCGCCCCAAGGGATGACGAGGTCGAATGGTCACAAACTACTTCAAGATCATTTCAGGCTGGACATAAGGAAGAATTTCTTTACTGTCCGAGCCCCCAAGGTCTGGAACAGCCTGCCACTGGAGGTGGTTCAAGCGCCTTCATTGAACACCTTCAAGATGAAACTGGATGCTTATCTTGCTGGGATCCTATGACCCCAGCTGACTTCCTGCCCTTTGGGCGGGGGGCTGGACTCGATGATCTTCCGAGGTCCCTTCCAGCCCTGATGTCTATGAAATCTATGAAGGGTGGATTCAGTGGAGTAGCTATCAAGTTTGAAATACCTGAACTGCAACAAGGCAGGCAAGGTTCTTTGAGCAGATGTGATATGTTTTATCACAACTACATGCAACAATGCAATTGACTTCTGTCAGTGGTGTCACAGCCTTTCCCCTGTCTAAGCTAGATAAAACTGAGTTCTTTGCCATGTACCACACAGGGCTCTTTCAGATGAGACTGAGATCCTGTCTGTTCTGCGTGGGTATTACAAATCTGATGACACTTTTCTTAGAATGAGGAACTTTGGCCTACTGTCACTGATCAAAAAATATCCCTTCTCATCACAGTTGTAACAACACCAGCGCCTTTCACCTCAAGAAGCCTGCATTTTAGTGAGAAAGGGATTTCTATAAGTATAAAGGTTATAAGCTCCTTTGTGATGAAAGGCATTATAGGAATATACTGAAAACGGATATAGGACTGTTTATGCTGGTATTGTCCCCTGGTTCACATAAACATTGTAATCAGCCTCCCATGTAATGACCTCTTTAGAGTACTTGGAATGGTTGGATTCCAAAATATCTGATAGACAGAGTAGAATATATGGATTTGTAAGAAAAAGAAATGACCTTCCTCCTGTTACAGTATTGTAAATCAGAAATAAGTCCATTGTAATCTGAGTTATGAGGTATAAAACTATGCAAGTGAGAGCAAAATCCAGATCAATGATGCATTTTCTAATGAAGCAACATACATTCTTGCTTGTAAGGAGAGTAGTAAACAGTATAATACTTTTTTCAGCTGTAAGTGAAAATAGTAATAATATTGGATGGAGGAAAGTCTGGTTTCCCAGGGCTTTTGTGAAAAGAGCTTTTCCAGTGCCTTTGTAATGGAGATTTCCATCTTTTGTAAAAAAAAACCCAGCTCCTTAATAATATTTATGAAGCAATCTCCCTTCTCTGCAAAAATGCTTGGGGTGCTGAACAGCAATTATAAAGTAATTTCTCATTAACTGGAAACTCCCCAGCCTCAAAAAAATTACAGAGAAATGGATGAACCAAAAACAAAGCAATAACACAGGAACATCTGAAGTAATTTTTAAAACACCTCTGGAAAAAATGCTTTGAGATGTTTTTATTGCTTAGTGTGAAGATAAATGAAAGGAGGTGGGTTTGGGGGAGAAGCAAGACCCACACTATCAGGGATATCAGAGCGAAAACTCAGTTGCCTCAGTGGCAAAACCCTAAACATTAGTTGATATGTGAGGGCAAGATTTTATAGACATTAGGGCTGGCACCACTGAGAACAGTCTAGCTCCATCCTCTTTCAAACCCCCGAGCCTGCTAGGTCAGGGCTCTAAATGGATTTTCCAGTGTAAAGGGCCAGTTTCATTTAGAGCTGAATATCCCTACAAGACACATGAATCTGCCCCATCTCAGCAGCCAATGCAATGAACATTAAGCAGCTCAAGTGTGATCGTGATTGTTCAAACTCACAGGCAATCATGCCACTGTATCTGAACAAGCTGTAAGGGGCAGAACAGCTTTACCATAACCTAGCAAAGAGGAAATTGCAATAATTGAGCCCAAGGGTCACAGGAAAACAGGTTGCTGGTCATTATGTGATAATGGGAGTGGAACTGTTATGTAAAAAAGATATTTGGTTATGCATTTTGTAGTGCTGAAAGACTCTTTTCTCTTCAGTGACTTTCTCTGGATAGAACAAAAATGGCATCAAGACATTAAAGTGAATGCTAACAAGCAAGTCATTTTAGACAGTCGATGCCTGTTCAGCAACCCAGCTTCTATCTTCCTGGGAGTGAGGAGAAGATTTAGCAAAGCCAGTGCAAAGGCAGCATGACTACACATAGCTTAGGTTCTTTGCTAATGCAGGACTTAAAAAGCAGGATCCCCTTTGAGGTATGTGCTCCCTGACAGACTCATTGAACGACAATGCATGCTTACTCCATATTGTATAGCTAGGAATATAGGGTTCTTGCACCTGCACTAAGAGCTGAAACAAATGGGCCTGATTTGACTGTAGCATAAATATAGGTGACACCCCTGAAGTTAGTGGAGTTATGTCAGGATCAGAACTGATCTTTATTTTTTTCCTGTCATTCAGTCAGATGGTCACTCACTGATCCTGCTAAGCACTGAGGAAATTTCAAGCACAGAACAGACCGACTTATTTGACTTTGAACCAAGCTTAGCAACATAGGTAGATAAAGAGCACAAATGAACCAGCATGAGTCTTGTAATGGTCCGAGCTGAAACAAATTAAACAACAGGAGGTCTAAATTATCATAGCACTATTTACAGCCCTAGTAACAGATAGTTTAGATCTCACTATAAGGCTAAATAGTGTCATTCCCTTACCTGAAAAGAGGTGATTTGAGGTACAATTTTTTTCAGAATGTCTGTATACAGTTAGCAGAAAGTACAAGGTCCCTCCAGTAAAATCTGTAACAGCTCCCCAATGATGTGTAGAGTTCTAGGTTAGAGAGGTTCTAAGAGAATATTGCTTTTCAAAATAAGTTTATAAGATCTGAGCTCCAGAAGCCCCAACTGAGGGGAGAAGACTGCCAAGTGTAGCGTGTTTCCTGGAGGGGCATATTTGCTTGTTAGCATTCACTTTAAAATCTCACGTTAAAGACCTGATTCAACACTTGCAAATGTATGTAACTAAGTTCATGATAACTCCCAGTTACCTCATGAAGATTATTGCATGTAGACTTGTTCTCAGGGAGACTGGTGTGTGCTCTTAAAAATGTTAATATTTTCTATTAAATATAGAAATGTTTAATGTTTGATTGTACTCCATCTGATGCATTATGAGTCAAAGTGTTGATCACAGACCCACTGAAGTCACTGAAAGTCTCCTGTTGACTTCGGAGGGATTTGGATCAAGACACAATGCTGAAATATTTAATTAAGCAAAACCCCTTCTGAACTCTGTGGGAGTTTCCCCAGAGTCTTACCTGCTTTTATTAACTTGGGTAAGTAACTTAATTTGAATATTACTTCAAACAAGAACTGGTATTTTTCCCCTCTTTGGTTTGATTTCTCCATCTATTTCAAAATGGCACATTTTAATGGATTGTGTGCACATGATTGTCAGATAATTGCCAGATTATTTATATTGCTCCTAGTATCAAGAAATCCCTGCTATCTTAATTACATCAGGAAAACAAACATGTAGCAGGCTTCACAAATTCCACAAAGAATATGAAAGTAGTCCTTAGTGTGTGAAAATCCTAGGATTTCCTTCAGTCCTCATGAATTGAGATTTACATTTGCAGTACTTTTGAAAGTGGTGGTGTTTCACACGCCTGTATAAATAGTAATGCTTGACCTTTTTATATAACATTTTTCATCAGTTGATCTCTGAGTGCTTTGCAAAAGAGGACACTATCCTTATCCTCATTTTACAGAGGGGGAGACTGAGGCACAGCAAAGTTCACCCAGCAGGCAGTAGCAGAGTTCTAGTCTGGTGCACTATTCACTTGGACACAATCAGTCTGATTATATTAATATAATATTAGTCAGATAATAAACAGTTATTTGCAAATTCTCTGACACTAAATGCCCCCAAAGCACAGTTTAGGATTGGGACTTATGCCAGTTTTTATATCAGCTAAGAATATTTTCTGGTTATTAAACAGATGGATACAGTTTTGTAAAACTATAAATTTTTCTCTGTTCCCTTAAAATAGGTTTATGAGTAAAACTTAACATTTGCTTTTTATTTCAGGTGAGAGCTTAATAGTAATTTGAAGCATACCCTTCAAAGAGTAAAATACCGACTTTGAATTTGGAATTCAGAAAGAACAAATACATTGGAGCTCAGAGTCTCTGTTGGGAGCACATGCACAGCTGCTGTATTATACTTCTCACCCCAGGGTAGTACTGGGCTGATGATACAGGGCAACAGAAATTTTGAGGGTTGAAAAAGGGCGCACTAGACCCCCAAACCAAAGTGCACAACTGTCAGCAGTCCTGTCTCACTCAGTACCTATGCAACGGAGCCTGGCACAGTGACAGGGAAGTTAAATACACCTATGCAACGGAGCCTGGCACAGTGACAGGGTATTTAAATACCCCCCCCAACCCCGTCTTTTTTTTTTCTTGCAGATGGAAAAGTGAACAAGATCAAGTGGATTTTGACATGGCCATTGATATTTCTGCTTTTTTGTACCATTCCAAACTGCAGCAAGCCACGCTGGGAGAAATTTTTCATGCTGACGTTCATTTTATCCACTCTGTGGATTGCATTGTTTTCTTATTTTATGGTGTGGATGGTAAGTGGACACAACAAGACATTTTATTAACTGAAATGTACAGCCCAAATTGATAACTTCAGCACCAATCCTACTTTGTATGCAACATAGTAGTAAGTTAACATCCTGTCCATTTGAATATTCTATCCCATATGCCAGTCTCTTTGCACAGTGAATTAGGTCAATCTTTTTAAATGTTGTGGGTCCCTGAAGGTGCATGTCATTGCTTACGTGGTTTCTTAGAAGTAATGTGCTTATTCCCTGCCATTGGCTGAGTGTTAGGCACTGAAGGCACAGGCAGATGTTCAGACCCCCACTGTAACTCATGGTGCTTTACATGGCTCAGTGCTGCTCACATCCCTCTTTTTGCTTTGTCCAGCCTGAGCTGGAGGTGGTTTGGGGAGTAGAATGGATCCCCCTTGCCTTGTGAACCTGGCCCAGCTCCCCCCAGTACCCCCCGCCCTGCTGACAGCCCAGCCCAATGCATGAAAAATTAACATTAGGGAACACAAGTTCCCTAAGGTGCTGTAAAGTAGAGCTCCTTCATCTAATACCTTATTTGAGGAGGGTTATTTCTTTGTGTGATCAGCCATCCTAAAAGCATTCTGCAGCCATGCATGTGTGTCATGGCATGGCTGTAGCACGCTTTCAGGGGCTTGATTGTTTGAAAAATGAAATCATCTTCAGCACCACTCTTTAAGTGCACAGCACTTTTATGATCCTGAAATTTACTGTCACAGTAAATTGGGAAGGTAGTGAGGACTGCAGGATCAGACGCAGTGTAAAATGCTTTGAGTAAAAATACTGTTAGTCAAAAATATTATCCCTCTTGATTAATGTTTCACTGATTGCCTAGAAAATCTTTTAATTTGTTCTTTACATGTGAAAAGCTTAGTTTTGAGAACAGAGATCCCTGATATGATCAGTGCAGAAACTCTTTTACTTTAAGATCTAAACCAAGTTCCTGTGTTTCACTTTCTCATTTTCTTTCAGTTTTTATAGTTCAAATGTACATTTTAGTTGGAGAAGACCACTACTCAAGTAGAAGATGTGAGACTAAATTAAAAAAATCCTTTTTTTATAAATGTAAAAAGGTATCTTTATTTTCTGAACAAAGAGCCAAAGTTAATGGTTACATAACAAAAGAACCTTTAAGACAATGACAGGATACACAGTGTATGTACATGCCCATTTTTTTCACATCAACAAAAGGAAGAAATCGTAATTTTTTTTTTCACAATGTGAAATTTGTACCTTTGGAAATGGATTTTCTAAGTCTGATATGACCTTTTGGAAACATCTTCATTTATGAGCTTCAAAATTTGTTTGGGACGTATGAACTGTATGTCTGAGTTATACTCGTCTGGGACCCATGCCAACAGCTCTGCCATCGCCAAAGTATATTATGCATTTTTAGATTGCTTTATTTTTACCACTTCTACTTGTGGAGAATCCTGTTTTTTCATGTAGCTATTTTCTAAAGTATTACACTTTCTCCTGATTTAGAATACATAGTAAATGAGATTCATATGTTAGCCATTCATTCTCTCCGGTACAGTGTTGCCACGGCCTGCTATTTTTCCATCCCAGTAAGGTTATTATACTTTCCACTCTTATACCATATTTTCAGATCTGTTAAAATCAGACAGAGTGCAAAGACCAAGGTAAAAATGGGACTTAGATATTATAGCAGTATTCCTTACCTCTTGCTTTCAAGAGATAGCCATATCCCAGTACCCCACTAATACTTGCCTTTTTAGGATATAGATAGACATCTGTCTATCCTAGTGTAATGTACATACTGGTGTAAATTACTGGGATCCAGAATGAGTAGATATGCCATTATCCCAGGATAGTTAACACAGCAGTCAGCTACACACCCCTCACCTTATAGGTGGTAGGGGAGTAGGTTTGCCTTTAGCAAAATGGCTACCCCAGGTTGGACCACCTAATTCTTTCTGGGGTAATTATCCACTCGTTGTTGATCTAGTTTAAGGATTTGTGTTGTTTTTGTTGCTTTTTAACACTTACGTAATCATCTGTCCATGGAGTCAGTGAAGCAGTCTCTCAATCAGGGATCAACAACTTACAGCTCACAGGCTGAAACAAGATTTAGCCAGTCTACCAAGCATGCCAAAAAATGATATTGTCCCAGAAATGTATAGAGCTGCTGTTAGTAAGTTTTGCATGAGATTGCTCCATCTAGTGGAGGAATATCTAACATCTGCTGCCTCTGACCCATTTTAGGACCAACCTGTGTTAATTTGGCCCACTGTTAGCAAAAGGTTGTTGACCTCTGCTCTCAATAATTGGGTAATTTAATTTAACCCTCTGCCTACATTGCAGGGGCGGGGGTTGGGGCGGGGAAACACTCCACTACTTTTGGAATAGACACAAGGCTAATAAAACAGTCCAAACAAATAGGGTTTACCTATTTATGCTCATAGAAGACATCACCACAATGCCTCAAAGTGGCAGCACTGTGATTTAGGGGAGCCCCTTGACCTTACTACAGGCTGCAGTCCTACATCCTCCTCAGTGAAACACCTGGCTGTTCCCACCCCTAATGTTCCTGCTTCATTCCACAGACACGCACGGATCTACTTCCTGCATTTCCTTGTCTGGCTGATAAGCCTCTTCTCTTGACCTGTTGGCAGGGTCTTTTAGCCTGCTCCATCTCAGACCCTTCCACCCTTACTGGGAGCCCCACTGCAGGCTGCTACCACTTTCTGGACTCTGGAAGTCCCACCTGGGCCATTTGGAGATTGTACAAATCCTGTTTACTCCAAATTCATCTTCAGCAAGAGACTTACAGCAATCACGCTTCTTCCCTAGTCTCTGCCTTGCTGGGGGAAGAAGCATTATCTCTTCCCCGTTCTCAGCGTGCTCAGTTGGTGTGTGCTGTTGTTGGATGGAATGAATCCAGGAAGAGCACACACCAACTGCAGATGCTTTCTCAGCCTGAAGAAGGGGTTTTAAACCCGAAAGCTTGTTAAGAAACATTTTCCCAACTATTTAAGTTGGTTTAATAAAAGATATCAGATTCACCCAAAGAACCTTGTCTGTCTAAAAGTTTATACACCTCATAGTTGCCATTTTTAGTCAGGTTGTTGCTACAGCTTTGTTTCATTACACAGGTGTGTGCACGCCATTTTTAGTCAAGTTATTGCTACAGTTGTGGTTCATTACGCGCATGTGTGTGTGGTGTTTAACCTTTGTCATGCCAGCCTCTGGAAATGAAAGTGAAAAGGGAAACACAACTGTATTGGAATTTCAGGATTAGTCTGAGAGAGACTTCCTAATTAATACAAATGGCTCTGTTTTTCCTTACTGCACAGGTTACTGTGATTGGATACACTCTGGGGATTCCTGATGTTATCATGGGCATTACTTTCCTAGCAGCAGGAACAAGTGTACCAGACTGCATGGCCAGCTTAATAGTAGCAAGACAAGGTATCATTTCTGTTTGAAAGTTCTAATGATTTCACATACATACTGTATGCTCTGCTGTTTTAATATGCACGTTTCCCAATTGTGCTTGTTGAAGTTGTTTGTATGGGAGTAGGGCCTAGTCAGGGACCAGGGTCCCACTGTGCTAGGGACTATATAAACTCAGAACAAAAAAGTACTCCCTCCCCTGTTGTTGCTTTGGTTGTGAATACAGGGCACTTGTTACTTCTAAATCAGAAGTTCCCAAACTTTTTCTTATTGCATAGCCCCTTCCAGATTTACCAGCTGCCCATGTACCCCTACCAGCACACATTTTATATTTTAACCCCTTAAATGCAAATTATTATTATAATGAAAATTAAATCCGCCATTACAAAATTTCTCCCACATACCCCTGAGATACCTTGCATACCCCCAGGGGTACACTTACCATAGTTTGGGAACTCCTGTTCTAAGTGATTTGTACAATCAGGAAAAAAATGCATTCTGGCAAGTCATTAAACAGTGAAAGTGCAGCTTATATTGATCACATTACAGAGATATAAACCATACAACCCATAAACAAGAAAATAACAGCCAAAAATATGATTGTAAACCCACAGTACATATGCAGATTTGATATTTGTCATGTGTAAAACTTGCATTGATTTCAAAAAGATTTCCATAGGCTTTTGGGCAAAAATACAGAGTGAACAGAGGATACCTGCTTCAAGCATGCTTCAGTCTGAATGCATGCACACATAGCATATTCCCTTGAGGTTTGTTAACACAGAGCAGGGTCAGATTAATTTTAACACGTCATTTTCAATTTTCCTATTGAAATACCTGAAGAATGTCTGACATATTTCTACATAGCTAATTTTTTTTTTCAGCTTCCCAGTTTTTTTCACTTGAGAAGTATTTGTGGCCACATTCTTTCTTGTTGTTGCTTAACACCATTAAAGCTTGGCCATGTATTCCTCCGTATTACACAGGGAGAGAAACAGGGGGTAATACTAGTATTTTACAGCATTCCAGTTCTCACAGCCCTTATTGCCAAAGGGTGGTTCTCCATTTGCCAGGCCTCATACAGATTCCAATAAACCAACAAGAGTTCTGAGGAGATAAATTAGCCACCAGAAGAGGCCAGTACAGCCCCCACATCTGTAATACAAGAATAGCACAAACATATTACATAGTTGTGCCACTGCTACTTGTCCCTGGGACCTCTGGCATGTGGCAAGTTGCCCCAAGGGGTAAGGGTAGGGAAGACTGGGGCCAGCATCTGGACTGGCCCAGCAGCCAGTCCTGGGGGCCTCCTGGGGCTCCAGCAGCAGCGATCCAATATGTGGAGCCTGACCAGCAGCCGCACCACGGCTTCAGCCGCTCAGGCTCCAGTCTTGGGCAGCACACTGCCGCCACAAGTGTAACCCCGCTTTTTTCAGGCACAGGTTTTTTGACACCGTGCGGCAAATTAGCCATGCTGCAAAAACCTGCTGTACTGCAAATTAGCAGCATGGGGAATGCCTGCATGTGCAACGTGTGGTTTGCAACACTGAACACTGCATGTGCATGCTTATCTGGACACGCTCCCAGAGTGCATTCCAACATAAAATTCAACCCACAGCTTTTCTCTCTGGCTGAATAGTGAATAAAGTGGAGTGAACAGTATAAAGAAGAAAAACTTTTTTTTTCATTGGTATCAAACTCAAATACCAGGTGTTTACTCTCCACCTATCCCAGCTGATAGAAGCCACAGAAGCACAAATAAAATATTTTGGTTGTGAGCTTTTTTTATGTATTGTTAAAAGGTATGCAAATGTTGCTCCAGTTAGCTGCTGAACTTGGATACGTGGCCAATGGCCTGTGTGGGACTTGCAGTGCTAAGGCAGCTCTGTTTAAAGTACTGGCTCCTTCTCTTTCTGCACCACCTCCTTTTTTCAAAAGCTTTTCCTGTGCTTTGTTTTTAACTGAGATTTGTTTTTCCCCCCAGGCCTTGGTGATATGGCAGTATCCAACACAATAGGGAGCAATGTATTTGACATTTTAGTAGGCCTTGGCGTCCCATGGGGCTTGCAAACTATGGTGGTTGATTATGGATCGTCTGTATGTATATATTTATATTTTTAAATTTTTTATATATTTTTTTTTTGCTTACTTAAAACATATTGCAGTAGAAAGCAGTGTAAAAAAAAAACCTAAGCTCTTCTATTGGAATAAATAAAACATGTGGTTGTTTCCTAGCCAAGAAATCAGCCAGTATGGGAGTAGTTTCCATACTACAAGATACAGTTATTTCCTGTTTTCATTAGTGGGAGTTAATTGTAATGTGTGGCAGGAGAAGAAGGCTAAGTATGTCTACCTCTGGTTCTGCCCTTCTGTCACTGTGCAGCTTTGAGCAGATCTCTTAACCCCGTGTGCTCAGTTTACCTGTCTGTAAAATGAGGATGTTAATGTTTATCCTCCTTGATCTGCCAGCCAAAACTGCTATACCATTGTCTCTGTTCAACACAAGGCAACACATCTGAGATACACTGGGCCTTCTCCATGCAAGTTGGCTCCCAAACTGTGTAGTTCTCCACACATGCCAGCAACTACCTCAGCAGAACTCATTGTGTGTGCACAGTGCCACCCTAACATGATTGCACTACTTCCGATTCAGGACCTAGTGTTCTTGGAGTGAACATGGCACGACTCAGCCCAGCCTCTGCCTTATACCATACAGATAGCACTTAAGTGCTTTGTGTGATTGTCCACACCCTTGCACTGACCTTTTAAAAAAAATCCTCCCATTCTGTTATAGTGAATATATCAAGGACTAGGCATCTAGGATTCATATGGCTTAAATTATGTAAAATAGTTTTGAATTCTAAATATTATTTAGAATGGAATGTGGAATAGTATACATCAAGAAACATTTAATTTTCCAATGTACTCTTTAATATACGCTGAACAAGTGCTCTTTGTATTTGATTCTCACAGGTTAGGATAAATAGCAAGGGGCTGGTCTATTCAGTTGTGCTTCTGCTGGGATCTGTAGCTCTTACTGTAAGTATTTCTGTGGTTGTAAAATTTAACTCCATTCAGTATACAGTTTGTATAATAAGTTGTTACAGTCAAATGTGTAGTTTTCACATTGTAATAGGAGAAATTGGAAGTACTTACCATCCCAACTAACATGTTCTGAAAGGCTCTAAACAGACCTATCATTTGAGCAGAATTCATCCAAGTCAAAACCTAGGACAAAAGAGGAGTAGCGCAGCTATTTACATGTCTGGCCCTTCCATGATGCACGGGTGCTCCTCTGCCAGTAGGCAGCCAGGGAAGGCACACAGCCTGATAGGATTGTCCTTGGGATGATTAGTAATTAAATTACAGAAGTAAACAGGGGTGGGGGGTAGGGGCAGTGTTAGCACATTTTTATCTCTCATACTTCACAGGTATCTCACATACTTCATGGCACTGGCAACTCTAGGATCCCAGGACAAAAGAGAGGCATGCTATGTCTGTTTTCGTAGTGCTTCATCTAACAATCAGTGAGGTCAAAGGAAAGTCAATGACCCATGACCTCAGAGGGCATTGAATCAGGACCAGTGCTCACCAATGAGGTACAAACCACTGTCAAAGATCAGAGGATCTCAACACCTAGCAGGAACCTACTTTGTAGCTCTCAGGATTGGGCCCTTACTTTGTAACAAATGGCTGGATAAGAGAATCATTCATTCTAATTTAAAGTTAGTTCAAATCAGCATCTATGGCCTGATACTACATGCACTGATGTCAGAGATTAAGTTCTCATTGAGCTCAACATGAGAAGACTCAAACCATGAAAATACAAATATCACTTCTTACTAACAGTTGTTATAAGTCTTTCTCAAACAGTTGGAGACTGTGCTCATTCCCATAGACTTTGCATTGCTGTATGTCTGTGCTTCTGAATGACCAATTATACACTACGGTGATATGATGACCAGGGCCACAAAGTTCCATCCCTATTCAATATGTAGTTATGATACCTATGAATCTGATATGTGGTCCATGCAAACAGAACCCCTTTGCAGTCTCAGCCCCCGGCAGAAAGTGTCACTGGTACTCAGCTTTTCTACAGTGCAGTGATTTGTTAAGCAAATGTTCTAATTGCATCTGAACTGATAAATTGTGGCATTTGATATTGTGTCATGTGGGCCTCAAACACAGGAGTGGGCAAAATACGACCTGCGGACCGGACCTGTTCTGCCAGCGGATTCTATCCAACCCCCCAACAGGTCCCTCAGCTCCACCCAACCCAGATGGAGGGGGGCAGCCTGGGCCATGGTGCATGCGGCTGGTCACACCATCCCCAGGCGTGCAGTACAGTGGGACAGGGGTGGCATGGCAGCTGGACTTCGCTTCCTGGCAGCTCCTGAGGGAGCAGTTCACTGTACTCAGCTGCCACTGCTAGTGTCTGCCACTGCCGCCAGACCTGGCCCCACATCCCAGGCACCCCATCTGGTCTGTCCCATACCCCCCCACCAGATGGGCAGGTTATCCATGGAGACTAGCCTGGGACCCCTGTGGGTAGGGCATGCTTGGCTGAGCAAACAGGATGGGGCCACGAGTGGGCAGAGAGCAGCATTGGGTACAGGGTGTGTGGCCAGGGCCAGGGCCAGAATCACAGGGCAGTGACAGTGTAAGGCTGGGACAGAACTGCACTACATTCCCTGCATGTCCCTGCTTGCAGACCTGACAGCCATCACAGGGGCATGTGGGGAGTGAACTGTGGCTCTGTCCCATGCCCTGGCCCCATGCTGCCACAACCCTGTGATCCCGGTCCCGGCCTTGCCTGCCCATCCCACTCATGGATGCCACTCCCTACCCATCTACAGCCCCATCCCATCTGCCCGGCCAAGCACACATGGGGGTCCTGGGACAATCTCCATGGAGACCTGGCTGCCCTCTGCTCTGTCTGGCACCCCCAGGGCCAGATAGAAATGATTCCTGCCCCCTCCTTCCCCCACCCCCCAAACCACTGTACTGAGCCAGGTCAGCCCCCAACCCCCACATGGTCCACAACAACTTACCAAAACTTCTTAAGGGGCCCTCCAGCCCAAATAATTGCCCACCCCTGCTCTAGCACTTTGGCAAACTGTGGAAGGATTATCTAAGGATCATTATGAAAGATGCCCATGGGTATTGATGAGCTACAGGCATGTCATCTGAGTAGAAAATCTAAACAGAACAGTTATCATCATACTCATGTCCATGCAAAATTTATTTGAGAACATTAGTCCTCATATAATTGAGATAAAAGTAATATCTTTAGGTACATGTGAAAATCAGTCTTTTTTTATATTTTTGGCCCCCGATGAAGGGGTAGGAGCTTTGTTAAAAGAACAAAAGTTTAAAATTTTTGATCGTGCCTCTTGCGTGAAAACAGACAAAATATTTTCCTTCATATTACTTGGGCAATGAGAGGGTAGCAGTTATAAACTGCAGACTCTCTACAAGAATGGTTTCAGCTGTGAATGTAGTCAGAGTGAAAAGAGTGTAGTCATTTTCCTATCAAGAGAAAAATAAGACCATGTCCAACTCGCTACCTAAGGTATCAGATGCAATCTAACCAGAGCTGCAAAGAGCATTGTGTGGGCTAATTTACCTTTCTTCCTGGCAGGCTAAATTAGCCCACAGAGAGTTCCATGCTGCGCAAGCTAGACTCTTTCCTGTCCTGACCTAGCTTCATAAATGCTAGCAGCATACCTGCAATGTACACAATGTCCTGTTTTTATCTAGGAGCCTACATGTACATTGCACCAGACACCCAGGTTTGAAAACGCTGGCCAGTGTCTGCATTGTGGCCTTTTACACTTCCCTTTGGTTCACACTTGCAGGCATTTGCAATGCACCCTGCAGAGGTGCAGTACCTCTTTAAATACTATTATACATGTCTATAGTTTCTTAATGCTGGTCAGCTGCTTAACCAGTTTGATACAGGTGGCATATAGGTCTGTTTTTGCAAAAACACAAACTCTACATCAGAACAACTTCTACTGGTTCAGTTGGTTCTGAACTCGATAGCATTTTCTTCTCCAGCTTCTCTAAAGTTGATGTAAGAAACAGTATTCTGTAAAGTGCCAGTGGTCTATAGGGAAGAACATGTGGTACTTATGTGTGTTAATTTAGGCAGTACTGAAACACTTAGTGGGAGCTGCAGGACTAGAAGTTCATAGATTGTGTTGAAATTAAATGCACCTGGGCTTCATTCTCAGTTACATGAAAAGGAATCCACACTGCCCTGCCCCTCTGAAAAGATCTCCAAGAGGCCCAACTTAGTTATATCCACTTTACACCTTCTTGTAATGAGGCCCTAACATAATTGAGAATCAAGCCCTTATTTTTAACTAACTTGGTCTGGCCTTATACACCTTATCTCCGGTTGAAAAAAGGAACATTGTTTGTAATCTGTAAAATGATCAAGACTATATTTTTAGCACATTTAAGGATATCAAATTCAAAAGACTCCTTATTTTTAGCTTGTAATATTTGTTTCCTTAGAGACATAATTAACTAACACTTTGTATACTTACAGGTGGCTGGAATCCATATAAATCAATGGAAACTTGACAAGAAACTAGGCATCTATGTGTTGCTTCTTTATGCCGTTTTCCTGTGTTTCTCTATATTAATAGAGTTCAATGTCTTCACCTTTGTCAACTTCCCAATGTGCCGAGAAAATCTTTAAATAAGCCACACAAAAGGAGAGAGACTCAGATGTTCTTAACTCCTTGTCCAGTAAGTGACAGGACATTTACATTTCTACTTTTTCTCTTCATTGATAATTTAAGTGTCTTTTCTGTTGCATCAGTTAACAAGAACTTTTAGCTTTGGAAGGAAAACAAACAAACCTTTCTTGGAACATGCCAGCTCAAGGCAACCAAAACATTTGCCTCCTTTGGATATTGCTGCTCAGAGGTCCCATTTCTCAAAGGTCCCACTTCAGCAGCATTCTTTTGTGGTTTCCCTTCTCCTGTATGCAGACAATCAAGCAAGAACATTAATAAACTCTCATCTTTCTTTTTCTTTTTTTTTTTTTGGCATTTATTCTCCATGGAAGAAAAGAAGGCAAGCTAAGAACTGTTCTTGGCTCAGTTAAAGGATCTCAGCTACAATACCAGAAGGACCAGTGCACATATTATGGCATATGACGTTGAGGACATTTTTCCCCATTCAAGTGCTCTGTTTATAGAGGAACTGCATTGACATACATAAGCCTTTGATGGTGATGCTTAACCATTGTTTTCTTAAGAATGCATGAACAATTTGACAGAGAAAGAAGAGAAGATGGTTAATACTGTATCACTTTTGATGATGAGTGGTAAGAGGAAGAGAATTTGAATATTCAAAAAGAGAATAAACCCACAGCGGTTCATACTTGAAAAATGTTTTACCATCAGCAAGGACCACTGTACAGTTATACACTAATATTTGTGGAACATTAAGCCTGTAAATAACATTTTGCATTTACATCCATAAGCACACTTTTGTAATTTTAGAAGACACTAAAAGGCAGGAGTCCAACTGAGTGCTCTATATCCAGCAATCGTTGTTGTTATCATCAGAAAACTATAACCCAAATACATTCCAGAACTGCTTGCAATTTGCACTGTGGATTTAGGGGGAGGGTTGCTTCATCATTAGGCTATTGATCTAGAAGCTGCTGCATTCTTCTCCATTTGTTGCTACACCCCACAAACTCTGTAAAGATGGGTGCCTGATACTACACAGTGCTGATATTAAACAACGATGACAAGAGCAAGTCTATCACGGGAACCAGCTCCTCGATCTGTTTGCATGCAGAAAGTTTTAAAGCTTGACTTAATCTAGAGCTGAACTGTTTAACTCCCTCTTCTCCCAGCCAGATTTGGATATCTTTTGCAGTAGCATAAAACTAGTTTAAAATATTTTTTCTGTGTGTAATCGACAGTAGAATCTGGCTCAAAGAATACAAACAAAAATGTAACATCATATGCTGTAGTGGTGGTACAAAAAAGAGTCACCAAAAAAATTAAGATGTTTTAAAACTGCTACTTTAAAAATATTTTAAAGTTGTATATGAACAAAAACATTTAAAGGTTTCTAAAGAAGCACAGCTAACTTTATACATAGATTTTTTTATTTTTTTAATGTTTCTAGGAAAAAGTCTCAGTTAATTAAAGATTTGATGCATTTTTAAACACATGAATATTTTGCACTTAAGCCTATTACGAAGATGCCCCTTACTATGTCAACAAAAGGATACTTTAAAACCTTAGGAAATACATACTGATTAGAGATATTTATGTATATTAATTTTTTTTAATCCATCTATGACATAATTCTTTCAAAGTTGCATGTAGAACCTTAATCACATCAGGCAGTGTGTTTATAAGCAAGGTTTTGTTTTGTTTTGTTTTGGGTGTTTGTTTTTTATTTGGATACTAATTAAGGAATATGTTTTTACTGTTGAGTTTTTCATAACAACAGGAAGATCCTTTCAATGTAGTTGTACAGGAGAGAGGAAATATACCTGTTATTTGTCTTACTGTTCTTTGGTACAAATGTCAGTATTAGCAACTAAGCTAAGTTTTTGAGTGTTCCACCTTACTGGTTCAACTAACCTGTCCTAAAGGTGGTAACAAATATCACTATATTAGGCGGCACTATTAGATAGGAAGGCGTAACCAGTAGATGTTTATCATTAGCCCTCAGGCAAACAGATGTCTCTGTTTCATGGCATTCAAAATATCTTCACTATGGTTTAACATGGAAAGAGGTTGAAGCCATGCATGTCCTCATTGTTTTCATACTGTAGAGGCTGTTAGCCAGGGAGGGACTGTGCCATGAAGATACAAGTAAAGTACAGAACACTGCTGCATGACCCTAGAAGCATTCCAGGGACAGCAGGGCAGCAGAAGCCCCAGCTCCTACCCTCTTTATATCCTTTATTCCACAGGGTAATTTGTTGGTAATGTGTACTGGTTGTTACACAGCGGGTAATTTGTTGGTAATAACTCCTGCCATGTTGGCTTAGATGTGCTGGCTGGAATGAAGGTAAGGATAGATTGATGACTCCACCTGTTGCACACCTACCCGGTCCTATTGGTTGTACAGTTGCAGGCCTACTTCCTTGATTCTACTCGGATCAAACGCCCCAGTAGTCAGGGTCTTTTATACTACAGGAATGTAGTCTGAGCCACAGGTTGATCTTGAATATCATGACTACCTAGGGATCACCTGAGGCAACAGTGATTTTTATCATTAAAATGTACAGAGTCAGGTTCAGCAAAGTATATTGAATATTCATATTTCTGAGCCAAGCAAGGCTCAAAAGTTCACAGGTTCCCTGACCATTGATTCTCAGTACAAATATGCATGGGATTTGTTAATTTTATGTATCCTCATGAGTCCCATTAGAATTACCTGCCTAAAAGGGTGCTACTTTCATGCTTCAGTTATCCCCTGCTTCTGATGTATCTTGTCCTACCCAGAGATTGTCCCAAACTGAAACACTGGACTGAAATGTCTTGACTTGCTCCCACCTCCACAATGGACCTCACCAGCATTGAGATCCTCGTCAGACTTTGAGAAAGTTTGGACTCAGAATTGTTTCTGACTGACCTCTGCAGATCAGCATAATGCCTAGACCTCAGAACCTATTACAAAGAAACTATTATACTTATCAGTAAATAAATAGCGATAAAAAGTTTCTTCTAACGGGACTGTTTGAGCAGGGATACATCATTTGCCAAAGAACTATTATGCACTGTATTAGAGCCTTGATGACCAATACTCATGCAAATTAATTTACAATATAGATTTCCACTTTTATCCATATGCAAAACTAAAGGAAGACATCCACAGAACCCGAATCATGCAGATAATTTGAGTAGCCTGGGAAAGGTTTTACTGCTGGTTACATTGCTATAAGTGTGAGGAATCATTTTTTTCAGTAATTGAATATCTTCAAGATTATATAAATTATAGCAACAAAATTATACTTGTGCCTCTGTACATTAAAAGAAATGCACCATCCTGTAAAAACCAAAAAAAAAGCAGGCATTCACATCCACCACCCTGGAATCAGTAACATCCTATGCTGCAACTGCTCCCATTGCTTATGGAAAAGTCTGCACCCATTTGTTCTATCAACCCTGGCACAAAGTTAGCCAGCTCAGCCTGAAGGTTGTTGTGCTGTTGCATAATATAATTAATGTTCAGCTCGAGGGTGAAAAGAAAGTTGGTGGATTTGAAAGGGAAAACTATTTATGTGATACAAAATTTCCCAGCAAACTGAGTTACTCAGAAAAAAAATATTTTGCATCTGGCAAAGCTTAATTTCGACAAGATTGATCTCATGCTTAAAGTTAAGCATATAGCTAAGTGTCTTGCTGTACTCCCTAATAAAAGAGAAACTCACAGACTCTGGGTTTTGTGTCACTTCCCTATCCTCTTCATCTCATATTTCAGAGTCTGAAAATTTGCCCCTCCCTGAAACAAAAATCTTTGGCTACAATCTATGGTTTGTTACACAGATTAAGTCACTTTGGATTTCCAGTGCTGTAAATGAGAGAATTTGGCCCCTGCTCTTAAAGACTCCTTCAAAATTGTGAAATCCTTCCCAGAGTGGCTCAGTGGGAGCTTTGCCATTGACCTCCATGGGACCAGAACTTCACTTCTACGGTGCTCACATTGAGTTGTAAAGTTCCTTAACCAGGACCTGTTCCACTTACTTCAATGAGTATTGGCTGAATAAGGACTTCAGAGTCAGACCCTTCATTTGTAAATCTAAATTTTAGAAGCTAGTGTTGTGTGGGCTTTGGTAACTGATGATATAAGCGTTGCTTTCTGGGTTGCAGTTCAGCCTAAAAAACACTGGAGTCTGCTGTAAATGCACAGCAGAGTGGTAATTTTCCTCCTGGCTCAGTCATCATTGGTGTGCCAACTTTATTTTATTTTTGTATATGTTTTCTGCAGTTGTTAAAAATGCATAGTTAGCTTCTGGGCTTGGGTTATATTTATTAACATCTTGTCAACATTTAAAGGGTGGAGGAACCCATCATTTTTACTAGTGTCCTTTTAATGCTGTTTTTATAGAGAACTTTTCATTCATCTCATTGAATACCCTTGTAAATGTGCTTAAAACCATGCACTTGTTTCTGTGTCTGGTTTGAATGTTTTCTTCTAGCTGGCCATCTGAGTTTTGGCATCATCCATTGCACGGCTCATTCCAGGATTTGTTGAAATTGTATGTCAGTTATTTGTAACCTGGTTAAATGTTTTCAATGGCAAATTTTGAGTTTATATAAATACTGCCTGATTATTCATGCCAGGGAAGAAATCTGACCTAGCGTTGTTTAAAGCAAACAGTGAATAACGCTAATATACCCAGGTGAAACCAAAGAATTTTTCTATTAAAAAGGCACATTGATAAAATTTGGCAATAGCAGGCTTCATCTCCTTGATTTACCTATGATCAAATATTAAAAAGAAAAACAAATTCTATATGCATTATGCATTGCCCTTTTTATTTCCCTGAGTTTGAGCTCTAGACTTTTTAAAACTTGTTAGGTGGTAGGATTTATGAAATAGCTACGCAGATGTTTAGTGAGGAATTTATTCCCAACATCCTGCGACAAAAGCCATTTGCAGCTTTTTTATTCACATTGATGTGTTCAGATGGGTAACTATTGTTTTCCAACGTTTAACCCACCATCCCCAACACTGTTGTCTAGAACAAAATATGCACAGGTTTAAAACCTTGTGGGCCTCTTGAACCTGTATTTATATATTTCTGCTGGCTTTTACTGTAGTGGCTTCATCATGATGCCAAGGGCAGAACTTGGCACCAGTATGTGGGGTCCTGAAGTCTTTTCCTGGGGAAAGCAACAAGGTCCTACACATCTGTGCATTTAAATTTAAAGTATGTGTAGCTCTTGCAACATTTGCTGAAATGGTTAATAAGTGGCAATTCATGTATTGCACATTTTCTTGCTACTGTACTTCTGATATATAAAGCATTGTCTAACAGAAACTACTGGTAATTGAGAGCTAGCATCATTTTCATTGTACCTTAAAGGCAATTGCTGGTATGAAATTAATTCTGTTTCTTTTTATTTCTGCAAAAAGAATGTATGTCATCTTAGGCCTGCTGATCTTTGAGTTGATCTTGGTAAACTTGAAAGGCAAATGTGAAGATTGATGTACTGCAACAGGGAGTTGTAGCAAAATCAAAAGGTATCAGAATATATCAAAATCAGACAGGTAGTCTTCAAATGACTAATACCCACTGAGCCCCTTTTCAGAGGGTTATTGCAGCAAGATAATGGCCTTCATCCATATACCATTTGCGTATACAAAGAACTAAATCTGCTACTACAGCAGCAGTTACGTTCAAAATGCCTGAAATTCTGCAACAAAGCTGTAACCAAATTCTTGCCCTCACTTCCACTGGATTCTCATCCATGTCACTTCATTATTGATGTCCTTGGAGTTAGTCCAGGTTTGCACCAGTGGAACCAAGAACAGAATTTGGCTCCCAGTATCAACTTGGTTGCAGGAAAACATTCAGCGACATTTGTGAACACTGAAATAACTTCTGATCCTTTTACACTTCCCTTTGTTTCACACTTGCAGGCATTTGCAATGCACCCTGCAGAGGTGCAGTACCTCTTTAAATACTAGTACACATTTCTATAGCTGCTTAATTTGAAAACTGAAAGTGATGACTTTGTAAACTGTAAATAGCACAAATCTATTTATCATGTTATTTATTTTTTCAATGACTGTGACCTTATGCACTGTGAATGCTCTGTGATATGGGGTCCTCTGTACAGATATGTATGTCATGAAATCAAAATGGGATTAACGTGATAATTTGTAACAAAATGTTGGCATGGTATTTGATTATTTTTATTGTGAAAATTTTAAAAAGATAGTTAAACTAAACATTTATAAAGAATCTAGCTGTCAGTATTGTAATGCACTATATATCAGCATATGTACAATATCAATAAAATGGATAAAAATAACCTAAGCCTTGATTTGCCTTTCTTTTGGAATGACATGAAAACAAGTGAGACACTGTCAGGCATGTTACTGAAAATCAAAAATGTGGGGCCATGCTCTGACACCCTTCCTTACATGGGGCTGCACTCTACTCCAAATTCAGTGAAATCTGGATCCCCCCCAGAAATCAAAGACGATATCTCTTCTGATTTCCATAGGGTTAAGATATTCACCCACTGACTTCACTGGATTTCCTGTAGAGTAAGTTATTCTACTGTACTTTCCTAGAGAGTAAGTTACTATTCAGAGTGAAGAAGGGGATCACAGTTTGACCCACAATAGTTCTAATATAAGTTCTTACTCTTCTTGGGCAAGACTGTGATACTGGGCACAGCCCAGCATAACTTCTTGAGGAGGTATAAGATGCAAGAGGAATTAGGGTTCAAAGAAACACCTGAGTCACAATAGCTCCCATCCTTCCTCTCAGCTTCTTGGGGATAGTATCATGCTGCTGAGCTATATCACCAGTCTGGCCCTTGAGTAGGGGGCATAAAGTCAAGGCTCATAAACCTTCCCATCCTTCTGTCCTCATTTCCCAATATCTGCTCTTAGGCGAGAGTATGAAGATGAGTATTTCTGCTTGCTCTGTACTTTGAAACCCAAGATGCATGGAACCCAGGTAGGGCATATTCCCCTGGGTACGGGAATGGAGTCAGTATTGTTACTAGTTTGTACTTTTATGGGAAATATTTAAAAAAATCTAGAGAAAATGCGGTGTTATTAAGCCCATTTAAAGCATTAATTAATACATTTACTATTTCATTAGAGAAGTGTTTCTCCTTTGGTGGGTTTTGCTGAATGGAGCCCTCAGTATTAGTACAATATCAGAGTACAGGTGCTTTTCTGACCTTTTCAGTCGACTACTGCATGCCTTAGTCCATCGACATGTCTCAGCCACTTTAAGCAGAGGTGGTGTGGCGGGGACACCACCATGAAGAGAAACTTACCTAAGGGAGGAGGCACAGAGCTGGTGGGACGCTGCCAGAGATCAGAAGCACAGCTGGAACAGGGACATGGAGAAAAAAAATGCCGCATGGAAAAACTAAGAAAAAAAAATGCCACGGGCACAGGGAGAACTGGGGCTGGCACTGGCATTGGCATGGACCCGCTTTATGGTGGCGTGCCAACGCCGATTCGCCAGCTGGCCCCCTGGAGGGGACATAAAAACCCCACCGGACGAGAATCCTCTGGAGGGCTCAGAGTGACCCGGAGCTGTTTATAGTCTCTTAGAAGGCATGTGGTGGCAGCCCCAAGAGGGATCAGGCAGAGATAAGTTAAGCCCAGGAGGGCCTAACTACTTAATGGAGACGGAGCACTGGATCCCGGATATGGCCAGCTGGGAGTGGGACAATGTCAAACCTGAGAAAAAGAGAGAGAGAGATCCGTGGGCTGCCGTGGACCCAAACCAGAGGAAGTCAGAAGCACACCAGAGAGCAAGGTAATCCGGGGCTGGTAAAATTGCAGGCCAGTTCACATACGGCCTAAAGCCGGATGGTACGCCATTCAAATCAGAGTTTTCTGACTTAAAAGTGTACAACGAGAAAACCTTTACCATGATGAGTCCTAGTTGCAGTCTGGAATTAACATCTGTTTGAGTAAGGCGGTGTAGGGGAGGCAGAGCCCCAAGGCAGAAAGCCGGACAGGAAGATTGAAGAAGGGACCCAGGAAAGGCAGGACTTAAAATCATCCTCTTGATAATGACTTTATTCCAACAAGATGTGGCAGGTGAGAACCCCTGGGGACCTTCCAAGATATCTGACTAAATGGCGAACTCTCAACCGTTAAAGAGACAGCAGTGCCTGAAAAGCCAGTAAGAGTGAAATGCACTAGTGAGCAGCACAGGAGGTTACAAATTGGTGCACTGGCTGGGAAACACGAGGAGGGGTTGACCCTGAAGGCTGACATGGAGATGGAGGTAAATCTAGCACCCCAAACTGAGCTGTTAGGCCAGACATTACATACTGTTACTAAAGTGCTAGAGGTCCAGCGACAATAGGCGCTGCAGCAACAAGAATGGTTGCAGAGAAACTGGACCTCTTTCCGAATGCACAAGATGACCAAAGAAGATAATGCTGAGGCATATATCGAATCATTTGAGTGAACAGCCATACAAATGGAGCTAGACAGGCTGCAGTGGGCAAGCCAATTAGGGTCCCTGCTAGTGGGGAAAGCTCAGGCGGCATACCAGGCCCTTCCTAGGGAATAGGCCTATGATTATGATAAGTTAAAGGCAGCTATATTACACAGCTTAGAGGTACCCAAGAAAAGGGGTAATGTGCTATAGATATGGGAGGTCAGGCCACATCTCTTGGGAATGCACACTGGGCAGGCAAGAAAGATGGAAGTCAGTGGGGGACAGTCTGGGGTTAAAGGAACAATCTGAAGCCAACAAAGCCATTCAAGAGTTGGATTTCAGCTTCAGGCAGTGTGAGGAAGTAGCCATTTGGGATAGGCCTATGGTGACAGCCTGAGTAGCTGGTAAGACAGTACAAGCTACCCTAGACATGGGTTGCTCCCAGACTCTAGTGAGGGCTGGATTGATACCAGAAGATGCCACAGACTGGTGAAAGCTGGTAAGGATGTGTTGCATCCATGGGGAGGCCGATCAGTACAAGAGAGGCTATGTCAACATGAAGATAGCCAACTGGAAGGGAAGAATGTGGGTGGGATTCGCACCCAAATTAGATGGCCAAATGATCATAGGACTGGACTGGCCCCCTTTGTACAAAGTCCTAGAGGAAGTCCATAGGGACAAATTGAAAAGGAAAGGCTGGCCCAAAGTCAAAGGTTGGGTAGCTGAAGAAGAGGCATCTTCCCCGGGGGAAGAAGATTTGGTGAACTTGGGAACTGCAGCCATGGGACCATCCAATTCAGGATGACTCAGGAAGATGACAAGGAATTCTTGAGGATTCAAGGGGAAGAGGTGGCCCATATCGAGAATGAGGTGACCCAGCCAGCTCTGACCATAAGTGATCCACATTTTGAAATACATAACAGGCTATTATATAGAGTAAGGAAGTGTCCACTCAGGTGAATGGACATGACAATTGATGGTACCACACCCCTTCTGTAGACGAGTATGGGAATTAGCACACACTACCCCAATGGGAGGCCATTTTGGGAGGGACAAGACCATCTCCAAGATTGAACAAAGGTTCTTCTGGCCAGGGATGAGGGAAGAGATCACACGGTAGTGCAAGGCTTGTCCTTAATGCCAAAGGGTCAAGAGAGATGGCCACTGAAGGCCCATTTGCAAGTGATGCCCCTGATTAAGACAGCCTTCGACAGAATAGCATTAGACATTGTGGGCCCCCTGACAAAGAGTAGTGCAGGGTACCAGGACATATTAGTCATAGTAGACTATGCGACCCGTTACCTGGAGGCAGTACATCTACTGTCGGCAACTGCACCTCAAATTGCCGAAGAATTATTAAAATGGATATCAAGGGTGGGAGTCCCAAGAGAAATAATCACAGACCAAGGCACAAACTTTATGGCACTGGTTATTAAAGCCATGTGGCAGGTGCTAGGAATCTGGCAGTTATGGACTTCTATCTATCATTCACAGACCAATAGTCTGGTGGAACGTTTAAACAGCACAATTAAACATTTACTACGGCTCTGTGCTCAGGAGGAACCCAAAGGTGGGATCTAATTCTGATACCTCTGCTATTTGCATTGAGGGACACGCCCCAGACATCCACCAAACTATCTCCGTTTGATTTAATATTTGGACATAAGCCAAGAGGCTTGCTGCAAGAAATAAGGGAGGAATGGAAAAGTACAGGATGGCAGAAAGTCAGAATCCAGCGACATAGATAGGAGATGGTGGAAAAACTTAGACAAGCTAGGTGATTAGCTCAGGAAAACCTAGCAGATGCCCAGCAAAGGCAAAACCAGGAATATGATAAATGAGCACGTGTCAGGGAATTCCATGTAGGAGACAAGGTCCTTGTATTACTCCCCACAACTGCAGACAAAATGTTAACAAGATGGCAGGGGCCATTTGACCTTATAAAATAGGCTAGCCCTGTAGGGTACGAGGTGTATTGACCAGAGCACTGGAGGGAGCAACAGATATACCATGTTAACCTGACAAAGGCCTGGCGGGAACCAGAGGGTTGGATACTTAGTCCGGAGGACCCCTCCGAGGAATTAGGACCTGAAGCAGACTATCAGTCGAGAAGGGTAAAACTGCAGGAGAAAGTAGAACAGGGGCCATGGCTGAATAAAGACCAATGAGTGCAGCTACAAGCGCTCATAGAAGGGTTTAGTGACATATTCAATGAAAGACCTGGGAAGGCCAAGGGCATAAGGCATGAGATTAACACCGCAGAGAGAACCATTGTGCAAGAAAAGTGGAGAATTATTCCTCACTATTTACAGACCAAGGTATGCCAGGAGATCCATAAGATCCTGGCCCAAGGGGTCATAATACCGTCTTGTAGTCCCTGGCGAAGCCCAATGGTAGTAGTACCTAAGGTAGATGGCTCCCTGAGAATCTGCATAGACTTCCAGAGGGTGAATGAAATTGCAAGATTTGATGCATTCCCCATGCCACTTTCAGAGGAATTCCTAGAAAGGATAGGACAAGCCCAGTACATATCCACGATCAACCTGTCAAAAGGGTATTGGCAGATACCCATGGCAGCCAAAGACCAGCCGAAAACTGCCTTCAGCATACCATGGGGGTTATTTGAATTTACATGGATGCCTTTTGGCCTCCATGGGGCCACTGATACCTTCCAGCGCCTTATGAACTGTGTTCTCGCACCCCACACAATGTGCCCTACATTGATGACATCGTTATCTATTCACAATCATGGTTTCCAACACATGCGTCATTTGAAAGCAGTACTGCGAGAACTTTATCAGGTAGGGATGACTGCTAACCCCCAAAAATGTTCATTAGGTGTGCAGGAAACCAACTATATGGGGTTTACAG